ATCCACGCATCTCATTTGGTTGCTTTCCTTAGGCCCCCAAAGCTAAGGTTGGTTTTCTCGGCATTTCATCAAGGGTAGGGATTTCTGTATCTTGGGGAGCTTAGGAGGAGTGCTTAGAGGGGCAGAGCACTGGTAGGGCTCAAGTCTATCTCCCAGTGGAAGGGCAAAGTGTGCAGTGGCAGCATGGGGTCTGGGGAGGAAAAGGAGAGGGTGAGGGTAGGGGAAGAAAAGAGAAGGGATTGGAGAGGAGCAAGCTCCCTGCAAGAAGGGTGCAGTATAGCAAGATACCACCTGAGGGCGGAGGAGCCACTTTCTCGGGCCTTCCCCCCCACCCCCCACCCCGGTACGCGGGCCTCTCACTGTTGTGGCCTCTCCCGTTGCGGAGCACAGGCTCTGGACGCGCAGGCTCAGCGGCCATGGCTCACGGGCCCAGCCGCTCGGCGGCATGTGGGATCTTCCCGGACCGGGGCACGAACCCATGTCCCCTAGCATCAGCAGGCGGACTCTCAACCACTGCGCTACCAGGGAAGCCCTGGCCTATTATTTAAGTCAGAGAGTTTCAATTCCTATTGCGCCTAGAGTCGTCCGGGGAAATTAAAAAAAATACAGATGCTGAGTCCTACGGCTTAGGTATGCTGATTCAATTATTCTGGGGAGGGCATCCTGCATCAGTTTTTTTTTTTTAATTCCCCCAGGCGATGCTAATACTGGAAGTGTTGCAAACTAATGTACTTAAGTGATTTGGGGTTTTACTATCATTGATTAATATTATCGATGCCGTCAGCATGGATTTATTTATTACTATAATGTTTCATGCCTGTGCTGGGTTTGGGGATAATATTCAGAGACAGTATTCTCCTTCAAAGAGCTCAGAGACACATAATGAACAATCGTAACAGTGGATGAGGCTGAGGAAAGTGCAGGTGCCATGGGAACTCAGAGGAAGTACACTGAAGCTTTACAGTAAATGTCAAATAGATATCGGAGATGTAAGAATGAGGTGGATGACCTGGAGGATGTGGTATATATAAAAATCGAGAGGCAAAGGAAAGCATGGAACCTTGGGCCATTAAGTAATTCAGTATGGCTGGAGTGTGATGCAGAAAAGAGGGAGAGTTAAAATGCAAGGCTGGACGTTTCCAAGGGAGTGGAAAGTTCCAAAACGGTTAGGTTCACTGTGATTGTAACTATGGAAAAGAGTGTATGCTTGTGGAAGGCAATAAGTAAAAACTAAAATGCAAGGTTGGAGTTAAAACGCAAGTGGGGATAAGGTCCTGAAGAGCTTTGGATGCCAGCTAAGGATTTGGGGACTCACCCAAGCATCGGGGATCTTGTGACAACAGGGACATTAAAGAACTTTAAGGAAAGGAACCACATGGTTGTACTTGCCATTTAGAGTGATTGTGGTGTGGAGAACAGGTCATTAGGGGGTGAAACTAGAGGCTGGGAGGTCCGTGGAGAGGTGGTTTCATCAGGCAGGAGATGATGGTGGCCGGCACCAAGGTGATAGCAGTAGGGACAGACACATGTGGGCAGATCCAGAAGCAGTCAAATAAAAAAAAAAGGAAGAAGTGTGCATGGAAATCAGTCATTAGGAGGTCCGGGGTCCGAGGTCAGCTGGTTGGGAGTAAATGAGAGCAAAGACCAAACAGGAAATGGAGACAACTCTTTCCATTCCATAGCTGTGAAGGGGAAGGGAGAAAAACAGGTGACAGATGGGGTGGGGTGGACATAGAGAGAAGGGAGGCGTGGATGTTGAGGAGAACACTGACGATGTAGATGTGAGAAAGGATCCTTTTTAAAAAAAAGAGCAGTTTTAGGTTCACAACAAAATGGAGAGAAAGAGGTACAGCGATTTCCCATATACTCCCTACCCCACACATGCATACCCTCCCCCATCATCAACATCCTCTGCCACAGTGGTACCTTTGTTACAGCCAATGGACCTGCACTGCCGCGCCATAATCACCCGAAGTTTATAGTTTACAGCAAAGCTCACTCCTGGTGTTGTACATTCTATGGGTTTGGAGAAATTTATAACGACATATGTCTTTAATTATGGCATCTTACACATTTTCACTGCCCTAAAAATCCTGTTTTCTGCCTATTCACACCCCAAACCCGACCCCACCCCAGCAACCATGGATCTTTTTTGAGAAAGGATACTTTTATATGTAAACCTTAAAGTACAGGACAACCATTTGGGATTTATGGTCAGAAAGAGCTTCAAAATAGTGCCAGTAAATAAAGAACTGGGAGAGAATTTCACATTCAGGAGTAATCCCTGGGATCCAGGTCAGGGCTGGTCTCGTGGAAGGGGAGTCTGGGAGGATGCCTGCTCTGGTTTTGAGGGGGGCTGAGACAGATCCCCCAAATACTCCTGATTTTGCCCCACCCACTGGCTAACGTAAGCTGAAATGCCACTGTTAGAGCTTGGACAGATCTCTGGGAGGGAGGGATCCATCTCTCAGTAGGGTTCATGTACTCCTGGGGTGGGTCGAGAGGAAAGGAACCCAAATTCTTAGCAAATTTGAGGAAACTAGGAATAAAATTCAGAAGTCAAACTTCACATTTTCCAGTCCACATCTCATTTTCCCCAGCCTGGACTCAGTAAGCCAAGAAATGGGGCAAATCTGGAGGGAGTCGGGGCCAGGCACCCAAAGGGTGGGCAACTGTCTCTCACCCTGTCTCCAAACCCAGTGCACGTGGCACTGGCTAGAAGTCATCACCTCCTCTGTGAGTCACAGGCACACTCTTCCCTTTGGCCTGAAATGCTCTTTCCTCCCCCATCCACCTGATGGTGCCTACACATCTTACAGAACCGAACTCGTGTCCCCTCCTCTGGAAACTCCTGCACAATCCCCTCCAGGCACACGCGGTCTCCTGGCATCACTTTAGCCTTTCCTGCGTTATAGCTTACTTCTCAGTTCCTAGGCCCGTCTCTCCTTTCAGACCTCTGAGTGCCTCTGACAGCCCCAAAGGGAATAACTGAGTGACTAGCAAAAGGACACACACTGGCTTCCCTGGTGGCACAGTGGTTGAGAGTCTGCTTGCCAATGCAGGGGACATGGGTTCGTGCCCCGGTCCGGGAAGATCCCACATGCCACGGAGCAGCTGGGCCCGTGAGCCATGGCCGCTGAGCCTGTGCGTCCGGAGCCTGTGCTCTGCAATGGGAGAGGCCACAACAGTGAGAGGCCCGCGTACCGCAAAAAAAAAAAAAAAAGGGTGCACACATCGTTATTTTTCTTTATATGAAACTGTGGTATTGGCCCCTTGAGGTAAGTGGGACACTCACACAATTTGCACTTCTTTGAATTTAAAAGCACACTTGTGGGTGGGACATGGGCAAAACAGTTCTTGAGTCTGCCACGCCTTCTGTCTGGGGACCTCCCTGTGGACTTGGGTGAGTCCCAGCTTCAGGCCAGCGGCGAGCCTTGGGAAGGGGCCATGTCTAGCCTAAGCGGCATCTCACCTCGTTCTCTCCAGGGACGGCTCCCCGTGCGCTGGATGGCGATCGAGTCACTAAATTACAGCGTGTATACAACCAACAGTGACGTGTAAGTAAAGCCTCTCACTGCTGAGGGATTTTTTTTTTTTTTTTTTTGTCCCAGAAAAATACCCATTCGACAGAGGTTTTAAAGAGAAGCAGGAATATCGTATCCGTCTGGGGAATAAAGCTAATCACTAATCCCAGGAAATCCCAGACTAAATGAAGCCACAGAGGGGACAATTTTCCCTGGTGGCAGGCTTTGGGTTTCTTTCTGCATGTCGAGGAGTGACCTCAAGTGGTGAATTCCTCACCTCCAGAGGAGCAAGGGGCATCCCAGCCTTCCCATGGCTCCACTCCCCAGACTGGCCTCAACACAAGGACCTAGATCAGAGGTGGCGGCCCACAGTAGCTGCTGGGGGTCAGAGGTGGCAGGGATGGAAAGCAGACAGACACAGTGGGCACCATCTCTGCTTGCAGCCTGCGTGACAAGTGTCAGGCTGGCGGGGGACGGAAGGGTTGGGATTGAGGCCTGAGCCCTCTTGCTCAGGTTCCCTCTTTTCAGGAGGAAGAACTGAGGCCCAGAGTGTTACTGTGTCTTCAGTGTGTGCCTTTATATGTTCTCTCACATCATCTCTGCAAAACTTTAAGAAATGGGTGTCCCCACTTTTGGAAGAATACACTAAGAGGCCTCAGGAGTTCTAGTCACTTGTCTCAGGTCACACGAGTATCAGGTGGCAGCGATGGGATCCGACACAGGTCTGTCTGGCTTAGAATCTCCTGCTTTCCACCTTGCCTTCTCTACCTAAAGCGAGTGGGAGCTCTGGTAGAGCTAACACTGTTTCCCTGTTATAATCCTTCCATTGGCCGAAGAGGAGATAAAGGCATGCTGTGTGCAAGGCCCTAGCCTAGGAAACAGACGTGCAACTTTTCCTTTTCTGACCTAGGCTTAGTCGCCCTGGCTTTCTGGGCAGAAAGTTGACTGGGCAACATGCGCGCTGATTATTGGTTTCTCTTTTGTCCCTCTGCAGATGGTCCTATGGCGTGTTACTCTGGGAGATTGTTAGCTTAGGTGAGTATCCACGTCTACCTACCACGTGAGGCTCTAGGCAAAGGGAGTGGGCCCCTCCCGGACTCCTTTACCATATGCTTTCATGGATAACGTGTACGCGGTGCCAACAGACGCCACGTGGGAAAAGAACCTTACGGGTTTCCATGTTTGAGTGTGTTTATTCCCGTGGTTCTCTTTATGAAAGCCCTGTGTCTAATGTCATATTTAATACTAATAACCTGGTGGTCAAGAACTTCATTCTGAGTTGTCTCTGCTTGTGCACAGATGTCACAGAGCTGTCGTAAGTTTCCTTCTACAACTTGAAGACAGTATATTATGAAAAGACATTTTCTAAGGCCATTTAATACCATGGGAAAATGTGCATGCCCAAAACCAGAAAAAATTCCCATAATCTGTTTTATAAATATTACACGTGAAAAAAACTGGGAGGACTACACAGGATTTAAAAAATGTAGTTTTCTGCATTATTTTTTGTATTTTCCACAATAAACATGTATTGCTTTTCTAATTAACATTGATAGATAAAATAGGAATTGCATAACATAAATACAGACTTCCAATTAGGAAAAAGATCCATGTCATTGGTACAGTAGATGTGCTATGTGTAGACAGACTTGGGGAAGAGGAATAGCACGGGAAGGAAGGAGACTGTGGTGGATCCTCTGCACTAAGGAGACGCCGCCCGGGAGCACGGTCTGTAGCCGAAGTCCAGCTGTGACGTGCGGTAGGCTTGCTCCGGAGGAAGATCACACCGGGCGCTCAGCATTGCTTGACACACCCCGTCTTTCTCCCAGCCCCTTGGCTGTATAGCCTCAGGGCAGGAGATGCTGCCTTCTACATCCGAGGGGGCTTAGGGCGCACCGTTTCCTGTCTTCCAGGTGGCACCCCTTACTGTGGGATGACGTGTGCAGAACTCTACGAGAAGCTGCCCCAGGGCTACAGATTGGAGAAGCCCCTAAACTGTGATGATGAGGTGTAAGTCAGGCCTCACCCGGGGCGATTTTATCCTAACTTTCCCCCTGTACCTTTCTTGGACTGACTCTAATGAAGGAGCTATCTGATACATGCACATATGTTTTCCTATATGTACACACACACGCACACACACACACACATCCCAGATAGTCAGAAACAAGGGGGTTCTTGAAATTAAGACTGTGATGCAATGGGCAGGGAATAACAGCTTTCTAGGCATAGAAGTCCAGGAGGAATTTAAGGTGATGATTCTTGGTTGAATCTTAAGGTTGAAATGAGAAAGGGCAACAAAGACAGAAAAGAGCTGAAATAAATTCATAAAATTATCCACGAATAAATGTATGAAACCTTGAGACTAACTTTGGGGACAGAGATTTCAGAGCTGTTACATTAAGGAAGACAGATTTTTCTTCATAAAATCTTACTTCTATGAGGATTATTTTCCAGGAATAAGTATTCTTCTCAGGGGAATAATGATTATCTTTAGTGATGTTGCCATTCCCAGAACTAACCAATGTAGTTGCTGCCTAACTGGCATGATTTGAAGAGTGCAAGGCTCTAGGCTGAGCAAATCATTTACCATCCAGACCAAGCCACTTCTAAGAGTGAAACAGGGTGTCATTATTGTTATGGTACAAGAGATATAAAACTAGACCGTCCTGGGAAAACCTGCATGTATTTGAACCATCATTGGACAAAGTCCCTAAAATCCCATGTTTTGAGATTCATTCCCTAAGGAGTGATATTTTCAGCCCTTATGAAACTTCTGTTAAAGTACAAACTGTTCTATTGATAGAATCTCTCACACCCCAGGCTGATAGCGCTCTGTGCACTACAGTTCCCCTCAGTCACTTGGTCAGCATGTGAAATCTTGAGCCCCATTGCCAGACATGATTCTGTACATCTAGGGTGGGTCCCAGGAATCTGCATTTTAACAGTACAAGTAGTTCTGGCCACATTTGAGAAAGTACTGACTTAGACCAGCACTCCCTAAACTATGTGGAAAGTGTGAGACGTAAATAAATGACACGGGAGTTCTGTGATCAGTTATGTCTGGGAAGCTTCTAGGTTAAACCTGGTCAAAAAGGTTGTTTGTTTTTAATGGAATGACTTTCCTGGGTTGATCCCTAAGAGGAAGATGCGATAGGTGGCATTTTGCAAATTTACTTGAGCACGGGGCCATTTAAAAAAAATAAAACACTGACATTTTGAGAGGTGTGGTATTCCAAGGGACATGCTGCCCTAGACACGTAACTCAGTTCTTTCCAGATAATCAGAATAGCTGAGACCAAGATCCCGTGGGAATGGTACCTAAAGCAGGCACTAGATCTACTGGGAGAAGAAAGGGAACTTGGATGGGGAGATGGGAGGCCTAACAGAACCGTCCTAGGTGCCGTACTTTTGTCTTTTACTGGCTAAGCATGATGACCATGCGTTGGGTGGCTACATTCTCTTGTTTGCCATACCCTACACCTGGCTGTGCCTAGGCCGGAAGCACAGTTGTAGACTTAACCCTTCCACTGTTTTCAAAGGTATGATCTCATGAGACAATGCTGGCGGGAGAAGCCTTATGAAAGGCCCTCATTTGCCCAGATCCTGGTGTCCTTAAACAGGATGTTAGAAGAACGAAAGGTGAGTATGGAGATCAAATTCTACATAAGCAGAATTCATGTGTCCACTGTGGTTAATAAAAAGTTGATACAAGTCAACAGGTTCCCCTGAGCATGACCCTAGGTGCTATAGGGACATAAAAGATGTGGACCCAACTTTGAGGAAGTTACAATTTTGGAGGAAATAAGATTCCTATATAAGATACAGTCACACACAGTAGAACAACATATAGAACTGGCTTATTCGAGCTAGAAGGAATCTTAAATCTTCATCAGTCATACAGCCTGACCCTTTAATTTTATAGAGGAAGAAACAGACTTAGAAGGGTGAAAAGTGACTTGCCCAAGGACAAACAGCAGGTAGACAACAGAGCGTGGTCTACAGGTTACTATGGGGAGGGTCAGGAATTCTATCAAAATTTCTAGAAAGTAGTTGACTATACAGATCTGAGGTTCGAAAGACAAATCTAGGTTAGGGAAGTAGATGTTGAACGTCATCAAAACCCAGTTGGTAAGTAAACCAAAGATGTGGGTGAGGTCACACAGCAGGAGATGAGAAGCAGACAGAGAAAGGGGCCTTAGAGGATGTGGGGCATGTCAGGAGGGACCAGTGAGAGACCATGAGAAAGAGAAGCCGGAGACTGAAACAAGTGAGAGGAAGCAATCTTACTTGCAGCAGGCAAGGGATGCTTTTCAGGAAGAAAGTTGTTAAACACAACAGGGGGAATGAGGATAGAGAACTACCCCCCCCAAGTACCTGCATTTGTGCTTAAACAAGCTAAGGAAACCGGGGCATGACTGTAACTGCCCCTGGCGGAGGCAGGACCGAGCCAGTTTGTGTCTCTGAACCACTCTTGTTCTTCTAGACCTATGTGAATACCACGCTTTATGAGAAGTTTACCTACGCGGGAATCGACTGTTCTGCCGAAGAAGCAGCCTAGGACAGACCATCTTCAGCTGTATATTCTGTTTCCGCTTCACCGGCATGAGAGACCCTTGAGACCTTGATGCCAAGCAGGCAAGCCTCTGTCAAGAGAGGTGACATGGAATATGGACGTGTATATAGATTGCTGTCTGTCTGGGACATTCACCGTAAGACCCCTGTGTGTGAATCTATAGTACCCTCTATTAGGACTGTATATATACTGTGTTGAGTAAGAATGTGCTGGAATCAGAATGCCTGTTTGTGGTTTCATATGCAATAATATATTTTTCTAAAAACATGGACTTTACAGGAAGGTGTGAGAGTACAATTACTGTAGTGCATAACTCATTGTCCCAGATATTTTTGATATTTTTTGATATTTACCTATATATTGGATGTTATGTTTTGCTGTGTAGGAGAAAATATTGTAAACCTGACCCTGATAGCACCGGTGAGAAAAGTAGGGGAAACGTAGGAGTTCTTACAGGACATGGATTTAAGTCTGTACCTAAGTGATATAAAAGAGCTTCTTCTATCTCTAAATTCTCCCCCTCACCTGTAGAAGCCACCCCGATTTCATCCCATAATTTGACAACTTTGTCAGGTGTTTCCAGAGCCCACAAGTCAGTCCAGAATGCTAACACTGAAAAACAGATCTAAATCTCGTTCCTTAGAAGCCTAAGAACTTTGAGAGAAGTGTAAGTTTGATAAATTAATAGGATTTAGTTTTAGTTTCTTTGATAACATTGATGTGTTTATTAAGAAATTAAAATAGGAAGCTTGGAGTTAGTTATGTTTGGGAGACATGTGACATCATATCAGATTAACATCCCTACCTGTATTGCACATTGTAAAAAGTTTTAGTTTTGATCATTTGTGAGTGAGTTTACCGTTTATACTGTAGGCACATGCTACACTGAGATCATATAGTAAGTGAATAAATGTCTTGCCTACCCATTTTGTCCAGGAATGTGTCTCATAGGTATTGCCAAACGTCTGTATTATACTTTTGAGAAAAACACCTTAAACACCTTAAATTATCATCCTCTACCTTGTTGGTAATATGCAGAGAGCAGTTGGTGGGTATATGCCACCAGACATCTCTCAAGCTCACAAGATTAGAAACGTCTTCCAGAAGTATCCTACTGTCTAATCTGTTTTCTTGCACCTCTGGTAGTATTCCAATGTGAACTGAGGGCTTAGAACTAGAATCCCTTTTAATTGTGCTGCAATGTTAATAGTTCACCATACTGCATAATGTTCCATATTCCTGCCATCTGCTCAACTTTATGCATCAGAAACAATGACCAGGAAACTGTATTTGTCCCAAACGCTCTTCATCCACAACAGCATAGGCAGTGGAGACACAACAAAAGCAAGACTGCTGTCGCAGCATTTATTTCATCAACTAAGTAGGGGCTCAAATGAGCCATTGAAAGTAGGTCCAAATATATACATATATATACTATTTATATATATATGTATATATATACGTATATATGTATATATATATATATATATATATATATATGTATATATACATAAATAGTTCCTTTTTGCTTTTTACCCAAATGTTGTGGAGATACTCCTGACAGCTCTTGGTCTGCATGTACATGGAACTGAACAAGAACAAGGATGATCTGAAAAATGTAGATAATGTCTTCAAATTTTGCATGTGGCTTTGGAATACACAATAACAGCTGCTTTTTCTATAACAGCCTGACCTTCTTGATTACATATATTTAAAATACTTTAAATTTACATCATTACAAATTTACTTCATGTCAGGTGTAAGAGATGACTAAGGAAGTACTTACGGTATCAAGAAAAAGGAACTGGACTTCCCTGGTGGCACAGTGGATAAGAACATGCCTGCCAATGCAGGGGACACGGGTTCGAGCCCTGGTCTGGGAAGATCCCACATGCTGTGGAGCAACTAAGCCCATGCGCGACGACTACTGAAGCCCGCGTGCCTAGAGCCCATGCTCTGCAACAAGAGAAGCCGCAATGAGAAGCCCGCACACCGCAAACAACGAAGAGTAGCCCCCGCTCGCTGCAACTAAAGAAAACCCGCGCACAGCAACAAAGACCCAATGCAGCCAGAAGTAGATAATTAAAAAGAAAAAAGAGAAAGGAATTCAGTGATACTTAAGATTTACTTGTAAATTCAAAGTACCAGAGCAGCAAACCTGAGGCGTTTACTGAGGGCACGTCATCACCATCAACTTGAATTTACTCCTGGCCCAGAGACCATACGATTGACAGCTCTGGGTCTCACCCCTACCCTTGGCAGAGAAACCTTTGTAGCATGTTAACGGCATTGATATTAAAGATTCATACTTACTCAAAGGTCAGTAGTCAAACTGAATAAAGTCATGTCATTTCCATGGGCCAGTTTCCACATTATCAAAAAGCAATTAAGAAGGAAAGAACCAACGCCTTAAAGGAAATTAGACAATTCCAGTACTGGGTATATCGATTCGATTTCAGTGTGTTTAGAAGAGCCGTAGGACACTGCCTTAAAAAAAAAAAAGTCAGTGAGTTGTTGACATCAAAATCAAGTAAGAATACACCAGTTAGATTAAAAACACATTACACAATAGCCAAATGACCAGAGCTTTTATGTTAATAGTACACTGAAAAGCTTACATTTACTTCCATAGCTTTTGTGAGGAAAATCTCCACTTCTATTTCTATATAGATGATCTAAAGAAAACTTACAATTTTGTTAGGTAAAGATGTTTCTATCTCCAAGCAGTATAATGGTTCTAAGTATTTAGAGAGAAAAAGGAATTTAAGTAACCTGAGAAATGACCTTTGTGAAAGTCCTGGACCCATTACTTCAACTTCAAACCATCTTCCACTGTTATTTGTACACTGCCTACGAAGATGAGTCAAATTCCAAAAAAACCTAATTCCTTCCCCCGCTCTTCCCCAGTCACAACTTTAGAAATCACTGTGGAAATTTAACCTTTAAAATGTAATAAATAGACCTCAACAGTGCTTTTCCTTCTCCTCTTCTCTTTGAAAGTGTGGAGAAACCTCATGTTATTGTAGACCAAACTCTACTGCCAGCAGTGAAGGCCAAGTAGTCACGGATGCAATGCAGAGGTTTAAGATATTCTTGGGCAAAGTGGTTACTTCTTTCCTTTCAGGTCGTCTTTTACCTTCCAGAGTTCCATGCAGGCGGTTGCATTTTCACTTGAATTGTGACCTCCAAATAGTATAGAATATAAAATAGCACATTAGACATAGACAACTCTGTGATGTTACCCACGGATAGTCTCAAAACGAAGTCTTGAGTTTGAAACAAAATTACCACTGGCCACTTATCAATATTTCATTATTTCATACCTAGAACAACCCCTACTGGTTGCTTTAGAAATGTTTTACATAAATCCAGATGAACAAGCATCTCCCTTTTTCTATGTGACCTGTCCTCAGTCATGTGGTCACTACATTGCTATGACTGGATAGCACATCAGTACCTTCTCCATGAACCTCGTTTCCAGGGAGATACACCAACAAAGTGACAGGTACCACTGAACGACAGCGATCTGACAAGAAGCCGGAAATAAGAGATGCTAGAAAAAGTACACCTCTCTAGACAAAGAGTGACCTTAGATACAAAATGACATGGTTTTAAAAAGTAGGTGGGACTTCCCTGGTGGCACAGTGGTTGAGAGTCCTCCTGCCGATGCAGGGGTCACGGGTTCATGCCCCGGTCTGGGAAGATCCCACATGCCGCAGAGCGGCTGGGCCCGTGAGCCATGGCCGCTGAGCCTGCGCGTCCGGAGCCTGTGCTCCGCAACGGGAGAGGTCACAACAGTGAGAGGCCCACGTACTGCAATAAAAAAAAAAAAAGTAGATGAAATCTAGCCAAAATATCAAGCCTACAGTTCTGGTGAAAATAATAAATGACGTCTGAGATTAAATGAGAAAAATCATATGGACCACACTTCTAAAATGGTGTATTATTGTTTATTTGTGTTATTCTGAGAGAACGGAGCTATTATATAACTTTTCGAAGATTTTGTTTTACATAGGGTATTTTTTGTTGTTAGGTGAAATATTTTTGTGTCCATGGTTCCAGACTGTTTTCAGTAGAACACACTACAAATTTTATAAGAGCATTTTCTGGGAATTTGAGATACAAATATTTTTAACAAAGCAGATAATGTAAATTAAAGATTCTCTGCAAGATGGTTTTGGTTAGTGTCTAATAGACAAAGAATGAAAGAGTAAAGACCATAAAGTAAAATCTGTATTTTGTACAATAAATGACATGATCAGCGGAGCATCTGTAGAAACATACAGCATTATAACATAATTTTAACATACTCAAAATTAACTTCCTTCTCCCTCTTGTGCCAAAGTGGGGCCTACATGGGTATACATGAAATGTACAGAGTAACTAACCTCCATTCCAAGCCAGACATGTATCTCGTGCATATCACAATGCCACTAACAGGATAGTTGGTGGCTGTACTTGTTGTATTTGATTAACTTGTTTAATGTTGGGTATTCTTCATCAGAAAAACCAAAAAGGAAAAAAGTTCTGAGAGCAAAACCTCTGTACCAATCCACTACAGAGCAAGTGCACGCATGAATCTATTGAATTTGAGCTGTACTTCTTACGCAACGCACGCTATTTACCCTGGGTGAGATAACTTGGACCCAATCAATTTTAGAATCTCTTTAGGCTTAACGAAAATCACATATGAAAGGAGGTACAGAGCAAAATTTAGAATGGAATTAGATCTCTACACCAACAAAAGTGTTTTTTTTTGTGGTACGCAGGCCTCTCACTGTTGTGGCCTCTCCTGTTGCGGAGCACAGGCTCTGGACGCGCAGGCTCAGCGGCCATGGCTCACGGGCCCAGCCATTCCACGGCATGTGGGACCTTCCCGGACCGGGGCACGAACCCGTGTCCCCTGCATCGGCAGGCGGACTCTCAACCACTGCGCCACCAGGGAAGCCCCAACAAAAGTTTTATGCATGAATTCCAAGGTCAGGCAACTTGGTGAACCATGATGCAGTCACCAGTCTCAGTTTAATTGCTGTTTTGATGCCTGTGGAACATCTAGGACCATACCAGGCAGTGAGCATGGAACACTTTTTACTTAAGCAGAAGCTTTAGGATTCTCTACCCAAGAAGAGAACCCACAGGGCAGCATTTCAAACAGCAGACCTTTACCACGAACCTCCTGATTTACTCAGGTCAGACTTAGGATCCCGATTTTTATCACGAACAAGCAGGCTCTTACCATCATCCTGAATGATTCTCCACAGGTAGTCGGCCACTAGACTTTTAAGGGATCTTTTGTGAGGCGAGCCTAGCCGATGAGGAAACATAACTGTCGTGTCCACAGCTGAAGTATGAATTAACTGTCAAATGAAAGAGGAAAACTCTTTAGACGTTCTTCCCAAGGAATAAGGAAACTGATGGCAGTAACTGTAGCAGCAGTAACTATGCTACAAAACCAAGTGACATGAGCAGTTACAACAGGCCAGTCACTAGGCACTTAACTTGGATTATTTCACTACAACCTGCAGAGTAACCTAGCAAGGTAGGTATGTTATTGTCCCTTTTTACAGCCAAGGAAACTGAGGCTTCGAGAGGTTAAGAAAGTTGCCTAAGCTGAGTCAGCAGGGTAGAAGGAAATCCAGTCTCAGCAGCCTGACTTCCAAGTCCACGTTCCTACCAAGAGAGCACCACCAGGGGGAAGCATGAGCTCAGAGGTGTTCCAATAATTACTGGCAGGGTGAGGGGCGGTAAAGGGTGAGCCAGGCCCCTCCCACCTTGTGACTCAGCGGAGGCACGGGGACACCTCACTCTAGTGCAAGTCCCATTTCAGTGGTTTCTCTGTCCCTGGGGAGGGAGCATGGACAAGGATTAGTCCCATCTAGGTCCAAATCCCCTCTGCTTACACATGGAAAAAGGTGAATAAATTTTTCCTGATATTTAATAAAGTAGGAAATAGTGATCCAATAAGAGAAGGGTCAGATAACTGAAAGCCTAGACTGTCAGGTACCAGTTTGGATTCCTTGTTAGAAGAGCTGTACTTTGAAAAAGCGTTGAAGAAGATTAGCCTCAGGACAAGAGTAATTTAAAGACTGATCAAGAAGAGAGGGGTTGGGGCTTCCCTGGGGGCGCACTGGTTGGGAGTCTGCCTGCCAATGTAGGGGACACGGGTTCAAGCCCTGGTCCGGGAAGATCCCACACGCCACCGAGCAAATGGGCCTGTGCGCCACAACTACTGAGCCTGCAAGCCACAACTACTGAAGCCCGCGCACCTAGAGCCCATGCTCCGCAACAAGAGAAGCCACCGCAACAAGAAGGCCACGCATCGCAATGAAGAGTAGCCCCCGATCTCAGCAACTAGAGAAAGCCCGTGCGCAGCAACAAAGGCCCAATGCAGCCAAAAATTAAATAAATGAATAAAAAATAAATTTATTAAAAAAAAAGAAGAAGAATGGAAGTTTAATGTTTAGCACCTACTACCCCCCATCCATAAACGCTTTAAATTCTCACTTGTAATGTGTCAGCCACCTCCTGGACACTGGTTCCTGGCTGCAGAATACTGAGCACATGAAAGAAGGTGGTGGGGGAAATAGAGAAAAACAGAGAAATCTACGAGTAATCTGGGTGAAAGAAACAGACTGATTACAAGGAATAAAAACACACAGTGGTTTCAAATTTTCTGGTCTGGGAGACAAGTGAAATAGAACAGTTCCTGGAAAATGGGAGAAGGAAAGTCATGGTGAGAAACTGAGTCTGAGACAAGCTGTCGCTGAGGTGACAGAAGGCCATCCCTGTGAAGAGCTTTCTTACAAAAAGCTTATGTCCCCAACTCTCTTTGCTCACACTTGGGTGGGGTCTGGTGGAAGCACATTCCAGTCTCATCTGTCACATGCAGAGACAACAGTGCTGTGTGAAACAACTATCTATACTAGGGTACCAGCTTTGCAGGGAAAGAGGTGGATACTCAGGGAAATTAAATGGCCTTACTGACATTCTTACACTAAAGAAGAACTAGCCCTTCTCGGCATGAAGGTAAGTCCTAGGGGTGGCTGAAACAAACAGTCGGGGTCCCCAAAGTTCTAGAGTTGCGCTGTGCAAGGTGGTAGCCACCAGCCACACGTAACTGTTGAAATTAAGTAACCAAAATGAAAAAATCGTTTTCTCGGTCATATTAGACACATTTTAAGTGCTCACTGGCCACATGTGACTAGTGTCTACCATATCGGTTAGTGAACACGTAGAACGGAGAGTTCTGTTGCAGAGCACTGTTCTAGATCGGGGGTGGCCACCAAACTCTCTCTTCTGAGTTCTAAATAGTTTAGGCTTGCAGGCCATACCACTTCTGTTATAACTACTCAACAATGCCACTGTAGTATGAAAGCAGCGACAGAAAATACATCCATGAGTGGGTGTGGTGGCTCTGTTCCAATAAAAATATTTGCAAGAACAGGTGGCTAACATGGACGATAGTGTGCTGACACCTGTTCTAGAACGTGGAGCAAAGAACAGACCATTTTAACCTGGAGTATTAAGGGGGAGATTTTCAAGTCTATCATGCCAAGAAAAATGAACATGCCATTTGATTTTGAGCCTACCTTACAGGTAGGCTTTATAAATCTACCTGACTTAATATGAAAAAGTATCTTCCAGGACGTGACTATAATAACCTATGAGATAAACGTAGTTTTACCCACTTGAATATTAAAGACAATGATCTAAGACCATGTCAAAAGAACGATTTCGGTTTCATCACAATTGATAATGGACTTTCGTTCTGATCTTGTTTAGCCAGATGACTTGGGCATCTTATACTTCTTCTGGTTTATAAGAGTTGGACAAAGTCATCAGCATAGTGATTCTTATCTTGTTTTGTCTAAAAGGGCAAATCAAGCATCAGTGATAACACAATGATAATGACTACCACATTAACACATACAGTTTTATAAGAACATGAGCCTTTAACTCTTTACCTTAAGTGCATAGAGACTACCTTCAAAGCTATGTCCAATTAGTACAGTGTCAGTGCTGAACAGGTTCAACAAGGTGGCTTGCACATCACGGATTGAGGTTTTCGTGTCCTTCAAGTCATCTTCAACCACACCAGAAAACCTATCCCAAGAAGACACACAGTGCATGTAAGAGTACAACTAAGTAGATTTCATCCGTTATAGTTAGAACACATTACTGACTCAACGTGACAAACATTTGATGAACAGAACAAAGATCTTATTGTATGTCTGCCAACTATCCCTTTACTAGGTTATATTGATATAACCTAGTAAAATTTATAATTTGGATCAATCATGTAAGGCAGGGGGAGACATTATTACAAGTTCATAAAGTTCCTTTGTGAACTCTCATCTCTGTATAATCTGAGTTTTGTCAGTTACAGTTAAGTAGTCTATCTCCCATTAAGGCAAAGCTAAAGATGAAATGTGAGAAGCATGGAAAAGCAGAAGGAGCCCTAAGCAGAGTCTAGACAACCTGGGTTTGAGCTATGCTATGACTCTGCCATTTACTTATTATATTTGATTTTCAACAAGTTGCTTAGCCTTCTGGTTTCAGTCTTCTCATCTGTAAAGTAGGGTCAATTACCAATCTTAATGGCTTATAAGGACCCAATGAAAATACATGCAAACAGTGAAAATACAGGCAGAAAACAGACTATCCTAGTGGTTTTCATGAAGCACATACTAAAAGTAAGTGTTCAGAAATGTGGCTACTGCTGTGCTTTACTGCAAATTAGGAGAAAAGAGATAAAAACACTGCAAACGTACTTTCAACGTAAGCTGTATGTTCATAGTACTGTCTCCTGTAAGAAACAAAAGATACCTGGCTCCATCATCTGGCTTAGTTAAGGAATGTGATGCATAATCAAATATTTGAATTAAGAGGACATTATCATGGATGGAGTACTTGGGTTCATTTTAGAAGAATGCAATGCATTGAATCCTTTTGACTTTTTTGTGTGTGTGTGCGGTATGCGGGCCTCTCACTGTCGTAGCCTCTTCCATTGCGGAGCACAGGCTCCAGACGCGCAGGCTCAGCAGCCATGGCTCACGGGCCCAGCCGCTCCGCGGCATGTGGGATCTTCCCGGCCCGGGGCATGAACCCGTGTCCCCTGCATCGGCAGGTGGACTCTCAACCACTGCGCCACCAGGGAAGCCCCCTTTTGACTTTTTCTTTTAAGATTCAAGTTTTTAATTTTAAAGCAAGGCCTTCAGTTCCCATTTTGCTGCTATGAGTATCAGTAATTAGCAAAGCATTTCCTGACTTGTTCCAAAAAGGAGTTAGGAAAGATTCCACTAAACCCATGGAAGAACGAGAACCAATAAGAGTACAGTAACTTTAAATATAGTACAATTTTGTTCGTCAGTTATAGCTCAATAAAGTAAAAAAAAAAAAAAAAAAAGTAAAATATAAAATAGATGGGGCTATTAGGATATGGCCAAAATGAGTAGGAAAAAAAATCAAATGAGGTCAGGAGAGAGATTAGTAACAAAATGCATTTTCTGATAACAGCAACTTTTACTGAGTTTTTATGTATACAACCATTTTTATGAACCATGAGGAAATTTAGGTTAAAAAATACTTGTTAGCAGAATTCTTTATAATTATTCTCAAAATTTATCACAACAACTTTTAATTCACTTGACCACCTTGCCTTACTGTGCTCCAACATTATGGACATACACATATATAATATATGTTATGTATACTATATATACTATAATACTATAAACTATGTACTATAGTATATAATGCATATAATATACACGTGTATATGTGTATCAAGTCATATTTGTTCATATATACATATACAAATGTATGTATATATGTGTGCATGTATACACACACACACACACGTCATATTAAGTACCATTGGAGAATTTGTTAAAGAAAATTGAATAAATACAATCACACCAGTAATTAACACATCTAAATTTTCACTGTACAATAAGATCAATGTCTTCTATTTTATATTTAAATAGATATATTTAAATAAATATATAAATATGTCATGTCATATGGCTTATGTGCCTTTAGGAAATCCAATTCAATTAATCAATGATATTGTTGGGTATTTTATATGAGGTTTTTAAAAATAAAAGGCACATCTGTATCATACTATCTCAAGTTAGCATTGAATTTGGATCAGAAACATGTCCTACTTTAATAATAATAATAAAATAGAATTTGCACTGAACCACTGTTCTGTATGCTATATCAAAGCTATGTATACTCAGTGACACGTCTACAGGATTATAGAAATTTTCATCTAATGGGAATAGTATGGTATTTTCAGAAGAAACTGATTAATGATTGAATGAATAAATGAATGAATAAATAACTTGTTCAATATTTTTGTCTGTCTCTCTAGCCTCCTACCTACCATTCCAACATGTAAACATCATGAGTGCTGAGGCCGTATCTCTCATTTCGGGTTGTTACCCAGGGCCTAATACAGGGTCTGCATAATTTTAGCAAGGTACTCAACAGAACATGAATAGTTTTGAATAAACAAATTAATTAAAAGAAAACAGTGTTAACTCATGCTCTAAAGTTGAATCAAATAAAAGTACCTAGGCTAAAACTCAAAGTACATGTTGAATGTTCTATAATTTCAAAAACAAACCCCTGTGTATAATGCATACCTAGTGTTATAGTCAATGACTTCTTCATCTGGTTTCACAGATGTATCATAGCCCACCTGGAGGCTGGGATCAACCACTGTCACTTGAGTAAGTTCCAAACCTTTGGCTGTATAGCACTATAAAGATGGAAATAATAAATTTAAACATCATATTGGGCAAACATATTTTAACATCTTAGATATCTTAAAGGAATATTTTTAACTGGAATATACAATCTAACCCTATCATTCAGTTTTGCTAGCAAAAGCCAGTGTGTGGATCTGACGGTCATATAAAAGATGTTCCAAGCTTTAATTTTTTCCTTAATGTTGGTAATATTTCTGCTAATAAAAATAATTTCATTTTCTTGGCATAGGCTTTACACTTATTTTCATTAGAGATCAGTGCTATCCAAAAGAACCTTCTGTGAAGATGAAATGTTCTATTTCTGTCCTGTCCAATATGGTAGCCACCAGCCACAAGTGGGGATTGAGTATTTGAAATATGGCTAGTATGACTGACGAACTAAATTTTTAAATTTAATTTTTTATTGAGGTAACATTGTTTTATAACATCATATAAGTTTCATGTGTACAACATTATATTTTGACTTCTATAAACACTACAGCACGCTGCACCACCAAAAATTTTGTTTTCATTCATCACCATACAGTTGACCCCCTTTACCCATTTTGCCCTCCCCCGCTTCCCCTCTGGTAACTGCTACTCTGTTCTCTATACCGACACGTTTGTTTGCTAGTGGATACCATATTGAACAATGCAGTTATAAACCTTGTTGAATGAAAAAAAAACATTTGATTTCTAAGCCAGAAACAGCTTTCATTGTCTGCAATTAAAAATCGAAGCTTAGGGCTTACCTGGTGGCGCCAGTGAGAGGCCCACGTACCGCAAAAAACAAAAAAACAAAACAAAACAACAACAAAAATCTAAGCTTAAAAACTGAACACTTCCCTTCTATATCTATTAAAATTAAACTCCACAAATCTGCTTTCCAAATATGCCACAGGGAACAAAAATTTAATTTTATGTTTTGTTAAAGATGACTGTTCACATGATGTTTGACACATACAAAGCACTTTGCCATATATTAGTGTATCTGATTCTCACCATCACTGTCGGGTTATTATTAACCTCATAATTTACATATTGGAGCACCCGGGAGACTTGCCTGATAAGCAGTGGAGCTTCCAAGGTCTCATGATTCCAAGTTCTGTTTTTCCCCTACTGTTTAGTATTGATTCTCATATGGAAGAAGGTAACTCCCTATAAATATTTTACTGTCTCTATAAAAACAATAGATTTTTAAAAATTAAAGCTTTTATGCTGATTTGGGGGATAACAGTAGTATTCATAACATTTTCCACCTGTGTAATTTCAGCAACGTAATGAGTAGGACAAGCAGTGATTATATATAAATAAAAATTGATAGGTAAAAGAAAGAGGATCGTGGGCCAACTCCTGGTTCCATCACCAAGTGCAGGTATCCCACCAAGTCACTTAACTCTTTTCAGTTTCAGTTGCTTCATCTGAAAACGTGTGAACAACATCGCAGCACTGTGTGGGACTGAGAGAGAGAGCCTGGGAACGTTCCTTACACATGCATAAATAAGGCAAAACATACCACCAACGTACCACCTCACAATTCATGGCAAAGACAATCGTGATTCCCGCTGCGGGGTGTGAACTTGACAAAAGTCTTCACAAAGCCTTCTAGGTTTGCTTTTTGGTCCTGAACGTGAAGCTGAAACGAACACTGCCAAATAAGTTACTGTATGTTTTGGCAAGAGCAACTAAGCTCATAAAAATTCCATCAACTGAAAATTAGTGGATTATACCAAATGCTTATGGACCCCCAAGGTCTGCGCAGGAGGCAGCAACTCTGGTTCTGAAACAAGCAGCATTCTGGGGAACAAGCCCTACCTTGGCGACCTGACACCCGGGGGATCGAAGGACACCTTCACAACAGCTGTACCGCCTTTCTGAGCTACCAAGAACTGCAAACCACACGAAAAGTAAAAATCAAAACGAGCAAGCTTGACAAGGCAGAGTGGCTAACTCCCAGAGCGTCTCACGCACAAGGATCTTTAAGACTGCACCATGCAAGTGATCTGATGTAAAGTCTAAAACTCTGCATGGTTGCTTTTCTAGCTATTATGTAACAAACAGGAAACACTGACTCCTAGAAGCCGAGTTCTCAGAGGCTGCACTTTGAAGGTGAATTATAATCACCAGTGTCTTGAATGCCTTTCTCCCCTTCCTCCCTTTGCTTCCCCATAACGTGGCCGGGCCCCTCAGCTCCTCTCCTGATATCACTTCTTTATCCTGCTTTAACTCTACCTCAACCATCCTTTCAAAATATTCTCCTCCCTGACCTGCCCTCTGTGCTGAAGCCCCTGGATGATGGGCTCCGGCTACCACCCTCTCCCTTCCTGCATCTGACCCGAGGAACATCACCCAGTTACATAGACTGAGACCGTAACAAAGATGTTGTCTCCAACCTTGGCTGGACCTCTGAAATCCCGACACCCTCTTCTTCCACTGCCTTGGCCAGACACTTTGCACATTTTCACAGCAACAAGCCTAAGCCTTCATCTCTCTTTTATCTCTCTCACATCTTCCATCTCACCCGTACCCTTACCTACCCCAAGCCCTTCTTCCCTCTGGCCCAAGGTAATGTTCTCCCAACTGTTCCCTAAAAACCCCTCTGCCTACAGTAGGTTTTGCACCAGTTTTCCCATAAAATGTGGTTAGATTAATCTTCCTCAAGCACATTTTTCATTACATCACTTTCCTCAAATCCTTCACTTGTACATTGCTGATCAAATGCAGATTTCTCAGGCTGGCACTGAAGACTCTTGCTTAACCAACCTTCTATTACCCATCCAATCTTGACATCTCACGCCTTTATCTTACCTTCTCCTGTGATGAGAAAGGGAGGCTGAGAACCAGTATTAACAGAGCATCTGTTAGAAGCCAGGAATTGGACATGTCAGCTCACTAAACTGCACACAAAGCTCATTCTATGAATGTGGAAACAAAAGCTCAGAGAGCTTCCGAAACCTGCTCAAGGTCTCAGAGAAAGTAAGTGGTGAAACAGCCCAAAATCTCAGGTCCGCCGGCTCCAAAGTCCCATTCTGTTCATTATGCTGTGTTGTCTAGTCATTCCACACAGTAGTTAATCTGCTACTTTTATTCTCCTTCAGTGTCTTCCTATTTTTCTTCCCTTTTGGAATTTACAGCCTCCCCACCCACTAAAACTAAGCCCTAAACACTTAAGTCAAACTTGTCTGATTTACTTTACTATTGATCCATTATTCTTATATTGATTCTATAATTCAATCACATCCACTGTTCCTCTCTACTTCCTCTGCCCTGCTTTATTTTCTTCATAGCATTTATTATAATAGCTTTCATATTCATTTCCATATCTACATAAATAATTCATCTGTTCACCCATCTATCCACGCAGATACTGACAGCCTGTATGCGTTAGGTACCATGCTAAGTGCTGGGGAGACATTCGGTCCCTCCAAGAGCTTGCAGTCTTTTGAAGATGGCAGATAAATCACTAAATCATTACAAAATGCAGTTGGGTGCTGTCAAAGGCCCTCAAAGGTTGTGATAGAAGAGGGAGGACCTATTTTAGATCACGGGGTCATGAAAGAACCTTGATAGGTCACATTTAAGCAGAGACCCAAAGGATGAGAAGGAACCAGCTGCGTGAAAAGGAGACAGCAGGTTAGAAGGCTCCAGAAAGTTGGCCAGTGTGATAGGAAAGAAACTGTGGAAAGGGTGCAAGATAGCGGGCAGAGGCCAAATTCGGCAGGGTTGACAAAGTTATTGAAGAATTTTCATTATAGCAGGGGAGTGATGTAAACAGAACTGTGATTTAAAAATTATTCTGGGGGTTGTTGGGTGAGAAGTAGCTTGGGGCGGGGGAGTGTTAAGACTGGGAGGACGCTGCAGTAGCTTGGGAAGGAGATGAGGGTCTTGTGGCCCTGGTGGGGGGCAACAGAGGTGGAGAAGAGACACTTTGGAGGTAACAGAACAAATGGGACCTGGAAACTGCTGAGATGAAAGGGCGCACCAGGGAGTTCCCTGCGGTCCAGTGGTTAGGACTCGGTGCCCTCAATGCCGTGGCCCGGATTCAATCCTTGGTGGGGGAACTAAGGGCGCTGGCATAGGCAGAAAAAAAGAAAAAGGGAAAAACAAAACAAAGGCCTTGAATGGGGGGTTGTGCACCGAGGGGAGACAGTGATGACTGCACCCAGGTTTTTTGGTCTGAGTAGGGAAAAAAAACATCTGAGTTGACTGTAGGGAATTTACTGTGCTGGAGAAGAAATGGGGGCTGGGCTGGGGGAGAGGAAGCAGTTGTTCATCCTCACTCAGTGCAGGGCAGGGGCCAAGGAACTGAAGCCGTAAGCAATTATTCTAACGCTGGCCCGTGAAAAGCAGGTGAAGTCAGGAGGTACTTGATTGACCTGAGGTCTTAAACAGGCGGAAGAATCATCACAGCCATACTTCTTGAGCCAGCGAGCTCCAAAGTTAAGACGTGATGGTCGGGAGTAAATGTTTGTAATGGAAACTTTTGAATCAATACAGTTTCTCTTTACTGGACTGTATTTAACAAATACACATTGAACTGAATACTTTATTCCACTTTTCTCCCCATCGCTTTGGCACGGGCTCGTCAAGTAAATGAAATGGAACGACCAGACACCTGCCTTTATGACTCACCAGTCGGCCAAAGTGGTAGTGACATTCCTCTACGCTGCTGTGTTTGCCTGCAGGAGTCACGCCATAGATCTTCCCACATCGACAGCACATCCTCCTAGAAGCTAAAACAGAACATGAAGTAGAGTTATTCATGAATAGATTCGGGGCGGGAAATGAGGACCTGCATGCAGGGACTTGCCTTTGCATTCCTGATCCTGTCGTGAGCACAGACTCAGTGTGATCTCCAAGTAACAGGAAAAGGAACAGAATTATGCAAAGGAGTACGTGCAGGTGAGCTGCTTCCGCATCAGGGCTGCCACTGCTCAAACAGGCATTCTCCCACCTGCTTCCAGAGTCAGCCCAACGCCAGGGGATTGTGGTTTTAGCAGCACAAGTTGACTGTCACCAACTTGATCTGTCATCTATTCTAGTACATAGTAACTCCTGAATTAGGACCCATGTCTTCCTTTTAGACACATAGTGATCTGTTTATTGTCACTGAGAGTGTATCTGGGCTTTTCACTAGACCCGTTTATGAATACTTGTTTTTATTAATGACCCTCAAACTGGCTCTGATGACGATGATGACAGCAACTCTTTTATTTGGGTGTCTGTTATGCGATGACGAGGCAGGCACTGCACCAGGCACTTCAGATGCACTATTTTAACGGATTCTCATAGCTACTGATGGGGCAGCTACCATAATCTCATTGTTCAGAGTGGGGAAGCCGACACTGGGAGAGTGACTCGTGACTTACCCAGCACCCAGACCCAGATTCGCCTTTCTCCTTCAGAGCCCCGGTTCTTAACTGTTAAGTGTACTGCCTTCCAATGAGAGGATTTAAAGAAAGGCCAATGAAAAATATTTCTATAACTGCATTTCAAACTCTGATGGACCTAACATTTGACAGTTGTGTTATGTTAAATATTCTCTTGCTATCTCTTTTCTGGGGGGAGAGGGAGTGGGATAAATATATTAACTAACTATGCCCAGTATTTGGAGAAAATGCAAAATAATAAGACTAATTGGAAGTCTTTTTATAAGAATTCCTAGTGAAAGGGTATGAAGTATACGGAACACAGCACTGCCTACATATGTTTAGGGGTAAACGCAGAAGCTCCAGAGTCAGACTCCTTGGGTTCAAATCCTGGCTCTACCACTTATTTTCTGAGTGACCTTTGATAAATTATTTGACCTCTCTGAACCTTAGTTTTTTCATTTGTATAAATGGAGGTGGTAACAGTACTTACCTGAAATGGCTGCTAAGATTTAATAAAACTGATTACATAAATAAAGCACTTAGATACTGGGACTAAAATGAAACGGAAAGGGAAAGAAAATGAGATGCAACCATGTTTTTACCTGTAGCCTAATGATGCGGCCATCATTTGTGGCCATGGCTGGCCACAAATCTTGTTTCGATTAGAAAATGTCAGAACACTGGGACTTTTATTTTTCATATTTATTTATTTGGCTGTGCTGGGTCTTAATTGTGGCACATGGGATCTTCATTGTCGCATGCAGCATCTTCAGTTGCAGCATGGGACTTAGTTGTGGCACATGGGCTCTAGTTCCCTGACCAGGGATCAAACCTGGACCCCCTGCATTGGAAGTGCAGAGTCTTAGCCACTGGACCACCAGGGAAGTCCCAGAACACTGGGACTTTTAGGGCTCCAGTCTTAGAGTGTAGAAAGGATAATTTTGGGACCCATATGCTTATGATCATTTACAAGAGTTTTTGTCATGCCTGGGTTTAAAAGAATATTTCCTGGTTTGTCAGGGTTGGGTTGGGGGTAGTTATTTTCACAGAACTGTGCTTCAGTTAGAAGGGAGCCTTTAAGATGTCTGTAAAGAATAATTCCTGTGAGCACTAAGAGAAAAAGAAAAGCTGTCCAATAAAATTTAAATTGCTTTTTTTCCCTTTTTAAGTAGTGGTAGGGTTAGAGTCTACTAACCCTTTTATGAAATGCTAGGATTCTGATTAACATTAAGTAAGACAGTAGTCTAAAAGAATCCAAGTCTTTGTGTCCTTCAGTAACAGCCACAACAAATCAATATTGTTCCCTGGACCACGCGATGTCCTAAGCTTTGGGTGAGAGATGGGAAAGTTAAAATTATATCAGTAATAGCTGGTGCATATTAAGCAGGCCGAAACCTGTTCTAAGCATGTTGATTTAAACTTTACATTAAGCCAGAATGGCAAGTGAACTGACTTCATTTTTACAGATGAGTTAGACGAGGCTCAGAAAAGTAAGGACATATGACCAAAGTCACACAGCACAGTTGATACATAAACCCAGGCCTTCTGGCTCGAAATCTTGCGTAACAGTTCTTAATACTCAGATAAGAAAAGTACAAAAGCTTACAAGCAGGAGACAATGGGAACCCTGATGACTCTCACAAAGGCAAGATAGCTCAAGGATCTCTTCCCAACACCAGTAACCCAGTCCCAGATCCCCTCACTCTAATGAGCTCTCGAGAAAGTTTCTCTAATTTAATACTTTAGCTGAATTTACTAGACATGCTTTAGCAAACTCTTTTGTAAAACGAAAAACTGTGTTATGAGAAGTATTAAGAGATTCTAAAAGCATCTACGTTGTTTCAATTCTCACATGAGGCTTTTTTTTCTTTTTCGGTACACGGGCCTCTCACTGTTGTGGCCTCTCCCGTTGCGGAACACAGGCTCCGGACGCGCAGGCTCAGTGGCCATGGTGCCAGCCGCTCTGCGTTATGTGGGATCCTCCCGGACCGGGGCACGAACCCGCGTCTCCTGCATCGGCAGGCGGACTCTCAACCACCGCGCCACCAGGGAAGCTCCTGCATGTTCTATTTCTATGTGCTATATTTAATATGAGAAAAAGTGGGGGGAAGCTAGAATGCCATGAAAATACTAATCTAAGAGATCTCATATATTTTAATACATGTATTTAAGTCTACTTAAAGTGCTGTACATTAAAAAAATGCCATAAAGGAATTACAGATGAAGTTTTTACATTCTTGAGAATGGAACAGACTTTCAAAACATGACACAAAACCCAGAAACCAATAAAAAAGAGATTGATTACACTTTGAAAATAACCTCTATATTATAAAAAAAAAAGTATAAATAAGGCTGATGCACAAGTGACAAACTAAAGAAAATATCTGCAGTATTATTAAAAGAGAATATGTAAAAGGCTGTCCCAAATGAATAGGGCAATTTATAAAGGGAGGGCAGAAGGATACAAAGAGCAAATTTAAAAAGAGACAGAAATAAACATCTTCAACATCGTAGTGATAAAATATATTAAATTAACTTTATTTTTTTTAATATACCTTCACACTCTGAAATAGGATAAATAAGAAAGTTTGGCAGGGTGTGAGGAAAACCACATACTCCACCATTAGTGGGCGATGTAAATGGACAAACCCTTTCTGGGGTAGTTAACAATATTTACCAGGGCTTCCCTGGTGGCGCAGTGGTTAAGAATCTGCCTGCCAATGCAGGGGACACGGGTTCGAGCCCTGGTCCGAGAAGATCCCACATGCCGTGGAGCAACTAAGCCCGTGCGCCACAATTACTGAGCCTGTGCTCTAGAGCCCGTGAGCCACAACTACTGAGCCCGCGTGCCACTACTATTGAAGCCCATGCACCTAGGGCCTGTGCTCTGCAACAAGAGAAACCACCGCGATAAGAAGCCCATGCACTGCAACGAAGAGTAGCCCCCACTTGCCGCAACTAGAGAAAAGCCCTCGCGCAGCAATGAAGACCCAATGCAGCCAAAAATAAATAAATAAATAAAATTGATAAAAAACACAATATTTACCAATTTTAAACATGCAGACCCTTTCTGCTAGCTTCTCTGTGTATAGGAATTTATGCTAAAGATACATACGCTCGGGTTTAAGTAAATGTTAATGTGTTAACATCCTCACACATATTTATCACAGAATTTATACTCAAAAAAAATGTAAGCAATCTAAATACCCAAAGGCATTTAGTTCATCTATATTATAGATTCCATATAATGGAATATGTATAGTATAGGTTCTATACAATAGAATTTCATGCAGTCTTTAAAAAGTATCATACAGATCTAGATATGAACGTGGATTCCAGGTTAACTGACAAAAGACTTCTATGATACCTTACTGAGTAAAAAAAGTTAGACACACTGTATATAAAATGATTGTATTCATGAATATTATATATATCTCTGTAGTCATGTAAAGGAGGGTCTATATAAGAGATCTGGAAGATAGTTGTCTTTGACTGTTTTTTTAAAAGACGTTTTTCTGGGGCTTCCCTGGTGGCGCAGTGGTTGAGAGTCCGCCTGCCGATACAGGGGACACAGGTTCGTGCCCCGGTCCGGGAAGATCCCACATGCCGCGGTGCGGCTGGGCCCGTGAGCCATGGCCACTGAGCCTGTGCGTCCGGAGCCTGTGCTCCGCAACGGCAGAGGCCACAGCAGTGAGAAGCCCACGTACCGCAAAAAAAAAAAAAAAAAAAAAAGATGTTTTTCCGTATTATTTGAACTCATGCCACGTATTCTCAACTGGGGTGGTACTGCCCCCAGAGGAGTAAAGTTGGCTTTTGAGGAGTGAAAAAAATCTTAGATATTACTATAGTATGTGGCTCTACAAAACTCAATTTAACTGATAAAATATTATCCCTCAGTACTTCATTTTACTGGGGGTGAAGGAGGTAGAAAAAATAGGTTTATTAGGGGGACAATACTGATTTTTAAAAAGTTGAGAAGTACTGATACTGTTCCACATGGAGGTGAATTACTTTTATAATCAGAAATCAAATTTAAATATATCACTGATAACCTCCTTCAGTGAGGTTATATTCACAACTAAGTTCAAGGCTAACTTGTTACTTTCAACAAAAAAATGCCACCTGCACGTTCGACTCAACAGAATATTTAAAACATACATTTCATTGAATATCTAAAAACAACGCTGTTAATGAAGAAAACACATTCAGTGTCGGGTGTTAATCACAACTTTTTATCTTATCACTTAATTGAAAAGACATTACCTTGGTCTCTCAGCTTCTTCAGAGTATTTCTTGCTATGTTCACATACATATTTCGACGGCCACAGCATTCATAAATGGTCTTTTCTTCTATTTTAGCCTAAATCACAAAGTGAACAATTAAATGAAAATATTAAATCCAAAGTCTATGAACAATAAATGTCATTTGCTACATAATGGATAAATATGGCAAAATACTTATCTAACTCAAAAGATGGGGGGAAATGGTGCCACAAATAATAAGCAACTTATTTTACATTCTACGTTTATGTTTTTTGAGAAGAAAAAAAAGCAAACTTAATCCCATGAATGTAATCCAAGAACCAGACACTTATCTTCACAAACTAGAGACCACTGTATATTTGCAGACAGTGCATGGTGCAAAGCCTCCACAAGCCTACAGTGTCATGAACTCATTTGATTCTCAAAGCAAGGCCCTAACATATCAGAGGCACATACTAGTATTCTCATTTAAAAGGTGAGGACGCTAAGGCTCAAAGTGGCTAAATAATTTGCTTAAGATCACACAGCAAAGACAAGACATGATTCTCTTTTCATTATCTTTCTTCTATAAGTTACTTTCCTAAACCCATTAACTACTATTTTTACACCAAAACTCATTAAGATAGGTCAGTAAAAAGGGATGAAACGAGAGCACTGAATAAATAATACATATTATATTACTAATTTACTGTACACCTAGTATGTACAGGTCTGGAATAAGCTCGTTCAAAGTTTTCTCATTTAATCTTTATTGTGATTCTATGAGTATCACCAATTTATATGAGGAAACTGAGACCGAAGGAAAGTCAGTATCTGGCTTACTGTTGCAGAGCTAGAAATGGAATCCGGGTGTGCTCAAGTTCCGAAGCCAAGACTCTCCTCACTACACTAAACCATCACAGAGAGAACACCATAGGGAGGTTGGAAGACAGTACAGAAGACAAGACAGGGATACAGAAAAAGACAAAGCTGGAAGAAAAAGGGTAACATTTCTCTTTAAGAGGCTCCTTTTTTGTTTCTTTGCTTTGCCATTATTCTGTAACTTATACAGAATCCTAGAGGAGACAGACTTCCGGAATGGTAGGACAAGAACCTTCACAAACTGTCCCACAAAAACAATACAAATACTGGCAAAACAACTAAAACCAACCATTTCAAAACTCGGAAAATTAACCAAAGCCACAGAAAAAAACCTGAAAATTGTCTAAGAGAAACTACTGAACCTCGGTAAGACAGTGGTGTCTCTAACATTTTAGCTTGAGGCTATTCCCACCCGCCTTTCTCCCCAGCTTAGTGGCATCATAGCTGCAAAAAAATTGGCAGCCTGATAGCCAACAGAAAGGACAGAACTCTTTTAGAGCTACATTAAAGGCATCATCCCCAGAGCACAGTCAGTATTTTGTCCGAACAAGCAGCTTCCTGGAAAAATCTCTATCCCCAGAGTGCCGTGGGTATTTGATTGGACTCAGAGCTCAGCTCATGGGAGGAAAAAAAAAAAAACCTATCCCCAGAGTACTATCAAAACAATAGTAAATGGGTGGCAATATGGCAGCTACCTAAGGCTATGATTTCAGGTGGGTAGACAAGAACCTGCCTAGGAATTTAAAAGGAAATCTTGGAGAACTAGATTTTGAAACTTTGAAAAGCTCTGACATATTCTTAGGGTGTCAAAGGTGACCCAAGAAAGATCTGGGAAAAGAGAAGCTCCCAATAACTCACTAGTGGCTGACCTTGAAACCCTGCAGGTTTACAGGAAGTAAAAGCTAAGGCTGTCTTATAAACTGCAACAAGTTTGAAGGCATGCCTTCTCACATAGATCCTCTAGTGGGAAGGGATAAAAAGGGTGGAAGACATACAGACAAGGCATTTAAGAAACTCTTCTAACCAGTCATTGGCTGACCACTAAATTGTACTGACACAGGATGACTCCTAAAATAAATAATAAAAGAACTGAAAAAAAAATGCCACCAGAGGACTTAAGTGTCCATACACTGGAAGCAATACAGAATCTACAGAATTAGTTCAGAAACGTCAGTAAGCAAGTAAGTAGCAACAAGAAAAACAATTACAAAAACCTAGCAACAAAATAAATACCTATCTGACCCTAGAGTTATTATGATACATTATTTAACTGTATAGTTTTCTACAAAAAGTCATGAGACATGTAAAGAAACAGGAAAGTATGCCACTAACAGGAAGCAAAAAAGCACTCAAGAGAAAATGCTCCTGAGAAAGCCGAGATTTGGGACTCAGTAGACACAGACTTTAAATTAGCTATTGTAAATATGTTTAAAAAATTAATGGAATGATGTCTAGAGAATTAAAGGAAAGTGTGAAAATGATGTTTCATCAAATAGTACCAATAAAGAGAAATAAAAATTGAAAAAAAATTGAAGTTCTGGAGTTAAAAAGTACAAAAATTACATGAACAATTCACCATAGGGGCTCAACCCCAGATATGAGCTAGAAGAAGAAATAATCAGTGAACCTAAAGATAGACCAACAGAGATTATTCAGCTTCAGGAGAAGAAAAAAGAACAAGATAAAATGAACAAAGCCTCAGATGCCTGTGGGACACCATCAAACAAACATACCTACATTCACATAATGTGAGTTCCACAGGAAAAGGAGAAAGGAGCAGAAAAAATATTGAAGAAATAATTGCCAAAAACGTCCCCAATATTATGTAAAATATTAACCCATACATCCATGAAGCTCAACAAACTCCAAGTAGAACTTATTCACAGAGAGCCACACTTAGACATGTCACAGTCAAACTGATGAAAGTCAAAGACAAAAAGAAAATCTTGAAAATATCAATAGTAAGAGAAAAATGACATTATGTACAAAGGATCTTTAATAAGATTAAAGCTGATTTCTCATCAGAAACCATGGAGGCAGTGGAATGACATCTCAAAGTGTTGAAAGAAAAAGACTGTTAACCAAGAATTCTGTACTCAACTAAACTCTTCCTTAAAATGGAGGAGAAATGAAGACATTCCCAGATAAACTCTCAGGGAATTTGTCATTAGCAGATCTATCCTGCAAGAATTGCTAAAGGGATTCCTTCAGTCTGAGAAGGACACTAGACGGTAATTTGAATCCACATGAAGAAATAAAGAACACTGGTAAATGTAACTTCACAGGAAAATATATGAGAATAAATACGTATTTGTTTGTAATCTATTTCTTCTTCATCTATTTTAAGAGACAATAACATAAAGCAAGAATTATAAAATTGAATTACAGGTTTTATAATATATACGATGTAATTTATATGACAGTAATGGTATAAAGGAGGGGTAGAAAGAAATATACTGGAGTAAATTTTTGAATACTATTGAAATTAAGTTAGTTTTAGTTTGAACCAGATTGTCACAAATTAAGATGGTAATTGTAATCCTTACTATAAACATTAAGAAAATAATTCAAAAGATATAGTCAAAGAAATGACATGGGCATTTAAATGGTATACTAGAAAATATTTAACCCAAAACAAAGCAATAATTGTAGAGGAAATAAAAAGACACAAGACATAAAAATCACATTGCAAAATGGATGATGTATCAATAAATCCTACTTTATTAGTTATGAGTCACTGCATTAAATGTGAATGGATTAAACACTCCATTTACATTTGGAAGAATGGGGGAAAATATGGGTCAACTGTATGCTGTCTACAAGACACACACTAAATTCAAAGACCAAATAGGTTGAAAGCAAAAGGAAGAAAAGAGAGATACTTTGTAAGCACTAATTAAAGATAGCTGGAGTGGCTGCACTAACGTCAGACAGTATAATCTTTAAAAGAGAAATTGTCACTAGAGACAAAGAAAGACATTTTATAATGATAAGAGTGTTAATCTATCAGAAAGACATAATGACTATAAACAAATATGCATCTTACACCAGAGCACCAAAATACACAAAACAAAAACTGATAGAATTGGAGAAACAACAATTCAACAATCAGAAACTTCAATGCCACACTTTCAATAATGGATACAAGTCAGAATATCAAGAAAAAATGGAATACTTCAACAAAACTATGAAGCAATTATACCTAATAGACATCTATTGAATACGCCACACAACAAGAACAGAATACATATACTTTTCAAGTACACATGGGACATTTTCTAGGGCAGATCCTATGTTAGGTCATAAAACAATCCTCAATAAATTTAAAAGGACTGAAATCATACAAAGTATGTTCTCTGACCACAATGGTACTATATTATAAATCAACAGCAGGATATTTTGGAAATTCATTAATATGTGAAAATTGAATTACACATTCCTAAATAATGAACAGGTCAAAGAAGGAATAAAAGGGAAACTTAGGGGAGAGACCTGCCAGATGGCGGAAGAGTAAGACATGGAGATCACCTTCCTCCCCACAAATACATCAAAAATACATCTACATGAATCCTGGTAGGGGACCTTAGACTTCCAAAAAGGTGAGAAAATCCCCATGTAACTGGGTAGGGCAAAAGAAAAAAGAAAAAAAGAGACAATGAAATTGGGACAGGACCTGCCCCTCTGGAAGGGAGCTGTGAAGGATGAAAAGTTTCCACACACTAGGAAGCCCCCTCACTGGTGGGGACAGGACCAGGGAGCTTCAGAGCCTCGGAGGAGAGGCAACAACAGAGGTGTGGAGGGCCGAGGGAGAATCAGTGCTGACCAGCACTCACCAGCCTGAGACACTTGTCAGCTCACTTGCAGGGGAAGGTGGGAGCTGGGTGCTGAGGCTTGGGCTTCGGAGGTCAGACCCCTGGGAGAGGACTGGGGTTGGCTGCATGAGGACAGCCTTGGGGGGCTGGTGCACCACAGCTAGCTGGGAGGGAGTCTGGGAAAAAACCTAGGCCTGCCAGAGAGGCAGGAGACCTTTGTTGTGGGGTGTGTGAGGAGAGGGGCAGCCCTGTCAGAAGAGCTTCTCTCTCTGTGTGCTCACAGATGGTAGGGCAATGCCTACATGGGCACAAGCGTGAGCTGTGGCTGTTATCTCGGACCCCAGAGGCTGCTGCCACTGCCACCAAGGGTCCTGTGTGCAAGGCAGGTACCTGCCCACGACCTCCCAGCAGCCAGTGCAGCCTG